AGTGACCTTTAAAAGTCTAAACCTAGAGTGTTTCAAGATAAGTATAAGATCTCATTTATTGTCTCAAAACAACCCAAAGGTTTCTTACATTTTGAATGCCCTTGGCACTTAGTATGCACAGTAGTCAGGGCAGCTTCCCAAAGTGGCTGACTGACAACTTCAGTGACCCACTGTTGCTGCGGGACAATGGTCTGTACCCTGTCAATTAAAATTTAATAAAATACTGATTGGCCAGTAGCCAGACAGGAAGTATAGGCAGGGCGACCAGGCAGGAAGTAGAGGTGGGGCAATGAGAACAGGAGAATTCTGGGAAGAGGAAAGGCTCAGTCTGTAGTCATCACCCAGATGCAAATGATGCAAGATGTGACTGCCGAAAAAGATACTAAGCCACGTGGCTAACACAGACAAGAATAATGGATTAATGTAAGATGTAAGAATTAATTAATAAGAAGCATGAGCTACTAGGACAACCAGTTTATGATTAATGTAGACCTCTGTGTATTTATTTGAGACTAAATGGCTGTGGGACCTTGTGGGGCAGAAATAGCAGTCAACATACTGTTCTAGCTAGTATTAATTTAACCCTTCCTCTGATAAAAACTAGAAAGGCCAGAAAAACTCTAAAAATCAACTCTTGGAAATCATTGGAGGGCTACTAGGGCAGCTTGTATCTTAAGAAGTTAAGATTCCCCAAAAAGGAAAGATTTGAGAAATAAGTCTAAGGGTCATTGTGGTTTTTTCAGCTCAAGGCTTTTTTACTGGTTTGCAAGCAGAGCCTATAAAGTCAGGAAACGAAAAGGATTTGAAACATAACATTGGAACTAGAGAGATGGTAGAGTGGTTAAGAGCACTAAAATTCATTTCCCAGCACCCACATGGAGACTCATAATCGTCTGTAATTCCAGTTCCAGGGTATCCAATGCCCTCTGTCAGCCTCATGAGCAATGCACACACTGTGGTACAAAAATATACTCACAGGCTAAACACCCATACATATAATTTTTTTAAAATACATCTTTTAAAAAAATTAAGTAAAAAGCATAACAGAGCTGCAACAAGGCTATGAAGGTGGGAGGTTCTCAGCGCTCTGATGTGTCCTTACAGTGAAGAGTGCTAAACAGGGACGCTCAGGGCTTGTTCACAGTGTGTGTGAGAAAGTCACAGAGAAAACCCAACACACAACTCCCAACAGCGTGAGCCTCATAGTAGAAACAGAAGGACTAGCCAACGATCTGATGAGGAAAACTCTTCCTTTCCTTGCATGGATTATGAAAAACACTAGAATTATCTTCCCTTTTCTATTCCCTTCTCAGGAAGAAGATGAAAATTTCTTTAGGCAGTAATAAGTTTGAGGGAATAGTGTTTTTCTCTGGTTAACATGGCTTCTCAAATACACCTTCATAGATGGTTAAGTTAGCAAATATAAAAGCCAGAGTAGCTAGAGGACCACTGTAAGGAAAAAAATAATGTTTCCTTTCTTATGTTTTAGTAAGCAGTGAAGCTATCAAAGAATGATACTTTAAATTGGTTGGAACATGCCATTTTCTCCGAGCCTGGGACGCTCCTGTATAAAGTTCCTTATGCCACAGCATCTTAAACTATAAGTTTGCGAACCTGTATAGAATCATGTAACCAAATTTAGTACTTGTGAAGTTTGGCAAGAGGAAAGGTTTCTTAAGACACAATGACAAGAAATTAAGCCAAATCCCAAGGTATTCCTGTTCCTCACCTGTGTTACAACATGCAACTTCACTGCAGCATTGAACCGAACATAGAGTGTGTACACTAAATACCATACATGTCGTCAACCCCACCGTCCCCATGAACACTTCCCAAAACACCTCCATTCAGACTGCAGACCACTAGATATTATGAACTGCACTGTTTTCCTTACACATATAAAGTTTTCAGTTCTTATGGAACCATAAATAAGTGTAGAAAACAAAGACTTTTAATAATTCCCTAGCATGTCCTCAACATGGAAGCAGCAAATTAGTTTACCTTTGCACTGACTGCTCTAAGCTAGAACGGCTGACTTTAAAAACAGCTGTTTGAGCTTCAGGCTTGAATTTCATTTTTTAAAAAACTCCAATAAAATTCTGACTTAGGATTAGAAGAGAACTTCCAACAAATTCTGAAATGGCCCTAAATATAATTCTGTTACTTTGTACTACATAGCTGTGGCAAGAGGAATGTACAGCGCTGGCAACTATAAAATCAAAACATCCATCTACCCTAAAAACCGATAAAGACGTTCTGTATCCTGCAGCATCAAATATTCACCCAAGAGTTAAGTCTTTAAGTCATCCAAGCATATCTATCTCATTAATATGAAAATTTGTTTTTATCATTAATACATAGTAAAGTTATATGTATACCAAAAATCATTTTAAGATACTTTCTTTATGACTCTCATAACTTCTTTAAGTGCATATACATAGAGCTGCACAAAGTTTCCTTGTGTGAGAAGAAATCACAGGAGGAAAGGTTTCTAAGAAGCCCCACTTTACACCATTCCTATGCTCGCCTGTCTCCCTCCTCCTCACCTCAGGCTCCTCTTTTAGCTAGTGGGTTTCACCCTGTAGGTCACAGGCTCTTAGAGCGTTTTCTCTGATTCCAATACAGAATTCAGTTCTCTTACCTTGTGTGCTCGTGAGACCTAGAACAATTTTTAATTATATATGTGTGACTCTATGGGTAATACCTAACTCCTCCAAAAAATTATTAATCACACGAGAACAAAAGTCTGATGTGTTAGAACAAAGGTCTGATGTGTTTGTCTTCAATTGCATGCCAGGAACAAGCTACAGCTGTCAAATATTTGTTGACTGAGAATCACTGGTCACACCTCCAGCAGAAGCCTCCTATCCCACCATGGGCCAGTCCAGTTCCCTGAATCTAAGATAAGACTGCATCCTCCCACCTCCCACCCCACACCCCCACCTGTATAACATAACCCCAGCCATCCCTCCTCTCCTCATCACCAAATCCCTGCCCACACCTCTGGTTGAAACCTCCTACCCCATCAGAGGCCAGGTCAGTTCCCTGAAAACCAGGTAAGCCACCACCTGCTCCACCAACACCAACCAGGATAACCCCAGCGACCCCTCCTCTCCTTATAACCATATCCCCACCCATACCCCTCTGAAGCCTCTACCCACCAGATGCCAGGCCAGCATCCTGAACCCCAGAGAACCCCAGTAAGATCAGAGGTCAGACATACACATAGCCAGAACTCCAGTCCCAAACGTGGGTGGCAAACCCCTACTGGACCAGAGACCAACCAGGTCATCAGAAGTCCAGTCCTCAACTTGGGTGGAGATCCTCTATTCAACCACCCATCACTCCAGTCAGAAGACCAGAGAGGAAACAGAAACCAAGGAAGAAAACACCCATCCAACAAAGATCTAGACCTAAAATCATTCCCAATCCAGCTGCCTAAATGCC